TTAAGATATATTATTTATATACAATGTTTTATATTATTTTAAGATATATTATTCATATACATTATTTTATATTATTCGAAAGCATTGTTTTATATTATCCAGTTATGTCGAGATTAATAACCATTCATCGGTGCATTTATTTTCCATACTAATCTATCTCAAAACTGAATTCTATCTAAAACTCACTGAGTGCATCTTATATTTTTTTCTTTAATAGAAATTAATTAGCATCGCGCGTTTAACAAATCTGTATATAATTTTGTTTCCCCTATCACATTTGCAACGTCATTATTAAATCTTTGCAAGTATTTCACCTCCATATTTTCTCAAGATTGCAAAGAATAATAATATAAAAACGAATAGAAGATTAAATAAAAAACCAAAAAAAAAAAAAAAACATCCGATGGAAGGAAAGATCTTATCGCGTTAATGTGCGCGCGAACGCAAAATACCAGAGTTCATTAAACCTTTTTTAGAATATCTTGGCAAGTAAAACTAAGCCCGGGGGACTCCCTTTCACGAGATTTCCTTTCATTTTTTTGAACGAAAAAGAATCCCGTCAGCGAGTTTGTCGCTTGCTTTCTTTTCTTCTTCTTCTTCTTCTTATTTTTTGTTTTTTTTCATTTTAAACAAAACGTCCACTTTTGCATACGAAATCTGCGCGGGCGCGCACGCGCGTGTGTGTGTGTATCTCTGCGTGTGAAGAAAATCTTGGATTTTTTTGTTGTTGAAAAAATAATTGTTTACGAAGCCGGCACGTTTCTTTTATTGTTAATAATTATCGTTGAATTTTATTTCACGTTGAGATGACGATAAAAAATAAAAACGATTTACGCGTGCCCGATTAGGAAAGAATTTTTATTTAAATAAAACAAATGTGAGAATAAACGTATACGTGTACGATTGTAATAATGTACGTTAATTAAATCAACGGGAATATCTTCTTTTTTTTTCTTTTTCTTTTTTTTCTTCTTCTTCTTTATAGATAACGAAATGAAATATGTTCGAAGTATAACGATTATGTTTTAATTAAAATAACAATGCGATGAACAAACGATGATGACCAGTCATTATTATTTCTTATAAATCCAACAGATCAATGTTTTTCGTTTCTTTTTTTCTTTTCTTTTTTTTCTTTTTCTTTTTTTTTTTTTTTGGATCAACGACCGATTAATCCAATCACTCGAAAACGTGGGTCACGTTTTTTAAAACCAAGCTGCTCCTGTTAATATGCAACTATATCATAATCATAATTATTCTAAACTTAGGCTAACCCCCGCCCCCCTAATTTTTTGAGATACTCAACAATAAAAAATAAAAATACTATTATTTTATTAATTGAAATCGTAAAAATGATTTACACGTTAGATTAAACAATTTGTCTCAACTTACACAGAATATCATAGTTAATCGATTGGTTTCGTGTCACCTGTTGAAAGAGTATGTTACGTTTGTGCCTAAACCATAGAAAATAGAAAAAGAAAAAAAGAAAAGTAAGAAAAAAGATCTATCTATAGAAATCTAACGTGAAAGAAATCAACTTTCTAAGTCAAAGTTGTGTTTTTTCTATTTTTTTTTTTTTTCTTCCATATTAAAATGACACACACACGCACACGCACACATTCGCGCGCGCGCGCGTTTAAGTAAAAAAAGAAAAAAAAGAAGAAATTTAATATCTTGAAGTATTATAGTATGATATTTAATCATCGGTTCCTGTAATATTAAATATGAAAAAGATGTCGCGGAGAAGTGGGAGAACGAACGTTGTTGGGGTCATCAGTCGATGTTCGCGGTTACAACACCGATAAGAAGGTGTCATTGCTCCAAATGAAATCTTAGGGTTTTTCATCGTTTAATTATCTTTCAAGGATCATAATCAAAAGCGTATGCGAATGTCCGGAACGACCGTAAAACGATGACGACATCGTTGTCCAATCAAATTCGAGCATGTCTTGTTTTATATTTTTTCTTTCTTTTTCTTTTTTCTTTTTCTATTTTCTTTTTCGAATATGATTAGGTATACGAGTAAAAGAACGAAAGGATTAATACGATAAGTCTATCGAATGCGATACTTATCGGTTATTATGACCGAAAAATACATTTAAAATTCGAGTAATATTATATTAAGCTTGAATATATTTTGATTAAGGAAATATTTTTCATCTTTATAATTAAACAAAAAAAAAAAATATATAAAAACAACGTTGGAACAAGTATAAGTATATATGTCGTATAGCAACATTTTTCTGTAAAATAAAAAGAAAAAAGTAGTGCGACAATTGTGAAAAAATAGCTGAAATTTTGGGTGTGATAAATGAAATAATTCGAAGAAGAAGAAGAAAAAAGTAATTAAAAGATGCACATATATCTTTCGCATATTATATATTTTCTTTTTTTCTTTTTTCTTATTGATTCTTTTAATTGATTTATTCACAAACCAAGTGACTCACTCACACTTAGAGAAGAGGAAAAACAGGTAGGGAACGGAAGGAGAACGATAAACTTTTGGCCAGTTATGGCAAGGATGTACGAGCATTTGGCATGGTCTGTTGGCTGGTATCATTTGTCCGAATGTGGTTCCCCCATATTTGGACAGGTTGCACCGTACCGGACGAATAAATGTATACAAATCGGGTCAGACGCGTTGATTCGTGTCTTCTTGTTAAATCATCTTAAATTCGTTAATCGTAATGTAGAAGAAAATATATTTTAACAAATTTCGTTCATATAAGATATGTTAATCTATATTTCACGTTTTAAATAAAACCTTTGATCGTGTCATTATACGATTATCTCGTTCAAGATAGTTCATTAATATATATATACGAAGATAATTATTATCAAACACTTGACAATCTTAAAGCACAATTTAATTACGAACGACTCATGTTTCGTTTCAATAAATGATTTGATTTTGTTTATAATATATCTCAAAACGTAAGATTTATTTAAATACAATTCGTAAACAAATTGACACAACATGGGATTACAGAAAGAGAATGAGAAAGAGAGAGAACAGAAAATATATACTAGTGCACAGATACAGAAACAAATAGATTTTTCGATATCGTGGTATAATCAACGACACCGATGAACAAATTTTCCCTCTCTCTCTCTCTCTCTCTCTGTCAAATGAAATAGACGAGAATACATGATACGTTCGCACACTTCCATTCGCAAAGAAAAAATTAACAAATTCACACCAATTGTTGCATCAAAAAAAAAAAATAATAATACAAATCTAATAATATTAAAATACGATTTGTGCAATGAATCCTCAAGCGATATAATAATAATAATAATAAGAAGAATTATCGTTAAATGGCAAATAAAAAAGAAAGATTATGATACAATTTTGACGTTTGATACTAGAAATGTCAATAATAGTTAAGATAGATTAATCTTATCGCACTACGATGTTCTCTCTAGCACCGCATCGGGCCGTCTGATTGACCGAAGCGATTCTCAGTGCAACGAAGGAGGAACGTTTACCCCCACCATTGGGAATGGGACTCTCACCGGACTGTTAGCGGGGTCCACTGGTACGGATTTGAGAGGGGAACGGGGGAGGGGCCCCGAGGGTTTGGTCCGCCCTCGCACCCTCGTTCGTGTACAGCCCACCAACCACCCTCGTGGTGTTGGCTGAAGATCTGGGCCCGTTGCCCCTCTCCATTCTTTCCTTTCCCTTCCGTTCCCTTCCTTTCCCTTCCCTTCCCTTTCTCAACCACCTCCGCACGACTTTATTCAACTGAATGATCTTCTTTAAGTTGTTGTGGTAGTAGTAGTGGTGGTGCTGCTGTTACTGTTTCTGTTGTTACTGTTGTATTATACGTCAACGTGGGTATGCTCAACAGTAGTGGTCAATACAGGGTCTTTTGTGCTACGTTATATCTTGTATTGTAGCAAAGTAGCGATAGTGTGTCGCGATATGCTGTTGTGTGACGTTCTGTGGTACTCCTGCTGCTGCTGTTGCTGCTGCTGCTGTTGCCGCGGCCGCTGATCTACGGGGTGCCCCCACCGTGGCGCACAGAGGGGCCGCCGTGGGGCCGCTGCCTGATGAGTCACTATATAAGACAGGCAAGGACAAGAAGGTGTATGTTAGTACACACTCAATCCTCCCGTGGCTCGCACGACTCCCGACGTGACGAGCGCCGGCGAATTCGGCTCCGGCTGTGACCGACTTTTTTTTCTCTCTCTTTCTCTTTCTATCTATCTTTTCCTCTCCCTCTTTCTATCTCTCTCTTTCTCTCCTTTTCCCCTTCTCTCAGATTTTTTACTTCTTTCCTCCTCCTCCTCCTCTCTAACCGAATCTTATAGTCCCATATCACCTATTCCTCTTTCCGTCTCATTCTATTTTGCCCATTCGCTCATACACGTTCCTCCTATCGGGGTCCCTCTTGATAGAGGTCTGCCTTCTCCTTTTGCTTTCTCCCCCACCCCCACCCCACCCCACCGCAACCCCTCACCCCCACCCCTCTATATACCACTTTACCAACTTCATATATCCTCTCTTTTCGTTTGACGCACTCCTGATCGTTTAACGCGAACGAGTGCTTAACAAGTCGTCAAAGAGAAGACAGTTGTTCCACTCGAGAGAGGTACCTAGCGCATTCTTCGATTGGGATTCCTCCGGTACGCACGCACGCACGCACGCGTACCTTTGGAGGATCATCGGCCGATCGAGAGAGGATAAAGTCGCGTTTTAAACACGCGACTTCCTATCGGGAACAACCGGCATATTATAATCGATTGCTTATTTTTATCACTTTTTGTTGTTGTTGTTCTTATTCTTCTTCTTTTTTTTTATAATTTTTCTTTTCTCTCATTTATCGTGAAGAAGTAAGAGAAGAAAGTGGGTTGGTGGGGAGCTACCACCAAACCATTTTATAATTTGTGAGATACTGCGAAACGATTTAAACGTCGAATAATTATATTTGTAAATCAATCAATTGTAATTGAATTAATTTTGTTTAATATCGATTATTAATTGTTTTCTTTTTTTTCTCTTGTCATTGTCATACTTCCGATTAAATAATAAACGGAATCATTGTTTACAATTGTCAAGAAGATAAACTGTTGAAATAATAATAATCGTGAAGATGTTGGTGGAACATTTAATGCAGATGCTTTCCAAAATAATGGGTAGCAATTTGAATGAATTATTATGCACTTCGATCGTGTTTTTTGGTGTATTGGTACTTGTGAAGATTATTCAGTGGTTCAAGCTAATGCTACGTTTACCACCCGGCCCATGGGGTTTTCCGTTTTTCGGTTATCTACTGTTCCTCAAGGAAGAAACATATTTGCAATACATCGAATTGTCCAAAAAGTACGGAAGTATATTCTGCACTTATTTGGGAAAACAACTAGTCGTTGTAATAAGCGATTATCAAATCATACGTGACATGTTCCTTCAAAGGGAATTCACCGGCAGACCGCATACGGAATTCAGCAATATTCTTGGTACTTATGGTAAGTTTCTGAAACATAATTGTTTAATAATATTCGTTATAATTCATTACTTTTTTTTTATTATTATTATTATTGTTGTTTTTACACCGTTGCTTAGATCGTATTGAAAAAAAATTGCGAATTTATCGATCGATTGATCGATCGATCGATCAGAGTTTATTTTAGCGCATCATTTCTAAACCACTCTCGTGCAACTAACTTCTCGGTCAATGCTAACTCGTACTATTCGCGATGTTGTAATCGATCGTCAATGCGATACCTCGAACAGATAGATCGACACTGATTCGCGTACACTGAAAAGAAAAAAAGAATAAAGAAAAAAAGAAAGAAAAAAAAAACCCAAGTGTTGTACCGCGTGTATCGCATACGTTAGTTGATTCGAACTTAAATTAATAGAATGTTTTTTTCTCTATTATCATCATCACAGGTATCATTAACGTCGATGGTCATTTGTGGAAGGAACAGAGAAAATTTCTATTAGGAATATTTCGTAGTTTTGGTAAAACTGCTTCTCACGGAAAGAAAGCCATGGAAACGAGGATCAAGGTAAGCTTTTTATCGAATCAAATTATTTGTTATTTATTTTGCGAATGAAGATGAAGAAGAAGAGAACAAGAAATAATATGTGTTTAATCAATCGGTTTTATTTTTGTTTGTTTGTTATTATAGCGAGAAGTTAAAAGTTTCCTCGAAATTTTATTAATGACCAGAACTGAACCAACAAGTCCAACGCATTTACTCGCTACGTCAATTAGCAACGTGATCTGTTCATTCTTAATGAGCGTACGTTTCGAACACGGTGAAATGAGATTCAAAAGATTCATGCACCTAATCGACGAAGGATTCAAACTTTTCGGTACAATCGCGCACGTCAACTTTTTCCCAATTATGCGTTATTTGCCACGTTCAAGAGAAGTCAGGAATAAAATCATCAAGAATATCGACGAGATGGGTTTGTTCTTTCAAGAAACTATCGAGGAACATCGAAGGACATTCGATCCTAACGTAACTCGCGATCTCATTGATTCTTACCTTTTGGAAATTCACAATGCCAAGAACGAAGGACGCGAGGCCGAATTGTTTCAAGGAAGAGATCACAGTGAGTTTATCCATTTTTTTCAATTCGTAAAATTTTTTTTTATACGAAATAATCATCGTCAGAAAAAAACAACACAAATTTTAAGCACGTTAAAAAAAAATGAAAAATAAAATTTCCAATTAAATATACGTATTTTTGTTTGTTTATGTTAACAGATCGTCAAATGCAACAGATACTCGGTGATTTATTTTCTGCCGGTATGGAAACGGTCAAGACAACTTTGGAATGGGCAATAATCTTCATGTTGCATTATCCCGAGGCTGCTAGAGCGGTACAAGAGGAATTGGACATGGTCGTTGGAAGATTTAGAATGCCAAGTTTGGATGATCAAGAATTTTTACCCATTACCCAAGCAACTATATGGGAAATTTTACGAAAATCTAGCATTGTACCGTTGGGAACGACTCATGCTGCCACAAAGTAAGTTAATCCAATTTCAAATCTTTGTATAATGAATCGATAAAGAAAGAATGATATATAGAAACGAAAAAAAATATAAAACTATTCAACTTAGTCTGTTCGATTGACGGGAATTCAAATCGTATTTCGCAACGGGACGAAAAAACGGTGAACCTCCCCGTGTGGGAGGGAGCCTTCCTCTTCGATGAAAATAACGCGTTGTGTTCGCGTGTGTGTCTTGTTATAATGTCGGAATCTCGTTCGCTTGCGATTGCCGATTATTCGGCGAGCAAAAGTGAAAGCAAAAGGTGCGTGGCCTGGGCCCCCTCGTGTCTGCTTTTCGGCCGGGCCCACCTTTACTCAAAGTTGCTTGCTTGCTTCGAGGTCGACGACACCGTTTTTTTTCATGGTGTGACCGAACAAAGAGCTTCAAATCGAGAAAATTTTAAAGAAAAAAGATAGTTTACTCGTTAACCGTAAATTTCCTTCCTCGAAAACAGGGTGGGGGTTGAAAAAAATGTACGTAACGTTGACGCGTGTCTCATATCACTTAAATAAATGCATGATTCTTTTTAAAAATGAAAATAATACGAAAAATTCGAAATCAAATCACATGTTTCTTTAATCCTAATCGTTCGTTTTGTTTGTTTGTTTTGTTTTTTTAAACAGAGATGTTATGGTGAAAGATTATCTAATTCCCGCTGATTCCCAAGTTGTGCCAAACATATACGCCGTACACATGAATCCGGAATTATGGGATAAACCTGAAGAATTTCGTCCGTCACGTTTCCTCGATTCCGAAGGGAAACCACAAAAGCCTAAACACTTCATACCATTTGGTATTGGTCAGCGCGTATGTCTAGGAGAAAAATTGGCAAACTATGAGATATTCTTATTCTTCAGTTCTCTTTTACACATCTTTGACATCAGGTTACCGGCTGGTGCATCGTTACCAAATTTACGATCAAATATCGGAGTTACATTGACTCCTGACCCGTACAAGGTTTGTTATATTCGAAGAAACTTCGATATCATCGATTTCAACATTGCCCCCGAACAAAACGGGCCACTCCGTAACGTTGGTGCTGTGTAAAAAGATAATTAAACAAAACAAAAAAAAAGAAGAAGAAGAAGAAGAAGAAGTGCCTCGAGACGATCACGGTTGTTGTTCCTATCGCTTTTAATCAGAGGATATGAACTTTCGTGCTCCTCGCCGAGCGTGTACCGAAACAGGAAAGAAAAAATAACTCTAATTGAGAAAAAAAAAAAAGAAAAAAAAACAATTCAACAAAATGACACCAAAACGAGACAAAAAAAGAATATATATCATAGAATTTTAATAACAGATGAATAAGATTAAGAAGAAGAAAATCTTTCCTCGGTTCACGCTGATCAGAGTACAAAAAAAAAAGCCTCTACGGTTCGAAGAAAACGTCTCTTTTTCACCAATCACAGCTTTACTTACTACCTAAACAAAAAAAAAAGAACGAAACAAACATTTCTCGCTAATTTTCCTGCCCAATCATTTCATCATACTTAACAAATATCGCCATATGAATATTTATTTATCGCGAATTACTACCCCTTACTCCTACAACCACCTACCTACTCGCCCCCTTAAACTATTACCATTATTATATAGATATATAGATATATTTCTTACCACAAAACACACACATACACACACATATACACTATCTTAAGCTTAAAAAACTTCAGATTATTACTATATATATATATATATATATATATATATATATAATTTATTAACCTTACACAGACATACACACACACTGAAAGACACACTTATAATTTCGTTAGAATCGATATTAGGTGTCTATAAACAATTACGTTCATAAATGTTAACTTTGTTCTTACGTTTAAATAGATGCCAACGAGGGTGGGGTTTAATTTATGGAGTAAGCGGACGGATAAAATAATAATAATACTTGTAAATAGTTATCGTTTAAGAGCGTGTGCGAACGTGAGAGAATATGAAAGAACGATTAACAACAACAAAAAGAATGAAAGAACAAAAAATGAGAGGGAGACAGAAAGAAAGAAAAAGAGCAAGAGAGAGAGAGAGAGAATTTCTGTTTGCGTGTGTGTGTGTGTGTTTCTGTATTTGCATGTTCATATGCATGCCTGCGTGTTACGAGCGTTGAAAGACAACATGCATGACGTTGTACTTGATATGCTAATTTAATGATTAATAATAATCCTCTCTCTCTCTCTCTCTCTTTCTTTCTTTCTATCTCTCTCATTCTCTCATTCTCTCTTTCTTTCTCTCTCTCTCTCTCTCTCTGGTCGACGAACCGCGTGCCCCGATTGTCGAGAACGCGAGATATGACAGAGAAACTTAAACTGCCTTCATCACGCCCGGCGAGGGACCAAAAAAAAAAGTAAATTCCTCTTTAGTGTGTTTGATAAATTTATTCTTTTTTTTTTTTTCTCTCTCTCTTTATTTTATTTTTTCTCTTCTTTTTCTTTTTTTTGAGAAATCAAACTCCGAAACACCAGCGAACAGCAATGTTTTAAGCAGCCATGACACGTGGCCCCCCTCCTTCACCCTACCACAAGGGTCCTTGCCCCTCTTAAGGGTCGAAGTCTCTTTTTATTATGTTTTTTTTTTTAACCTTTCTTTTTTATTCCAAAAAAAAAAGAACACAAACATTCCATAAAAATTTGTCAACGTGATTTTTGATTGATCGATTTATTATTTCTTTTTTCTTTTTTTTTTTTTTTAAACGAGGTAGCAACGAGAATGATCGTTGAAACATTTGATAAATAATTTTTTTTTTTCTTCATTTGTTTAATTATTATATTGATCGTTATTTTTGTTTCCAATTTTTTCGTTTCATTTTTCTTTGATTTTTTTGAGGGGTCGGGAAGGGGTCACGTGATTTTTTTCAACGGTAAAGATCGTGAATTATTATTCTGGAAAAAAAAAAACAAAAAATGTTGCAACACGATCGAACATGGCTGCCCAATTTTTTTTAGCTTTTTTTTCCTTTTGTGTGTGATTTTTTGTATTCGTTTTGCCTGCTATTTCTCTTGCATGTATTTGATGATTATTCTTTCATTTTCTAGGTATTATGACGATAATTATCGTCAATTAAACAGGTCATTTAAATTAGACCATGAAGATATAATCATTAAGATGATTATTTTGTAATTATTATTTTTATTAATCTCATCTTGTGTCATATTATTTAATACGTTAAACGTATACTTACCTATTTTTATTTTTTTTACATTTTGTTCACATTAGAATTAATTTTTCGATTGCATAAATTCAGGATTAAATCAATAATTTTGTTTTTCAATCGTAGGAGAAAATAAAAATGTTTGCCATTGATTAATAATCATTCCGTTTAACGTGTTGAATAATGATGATCATGATAATGATGTTGATAATGATAATGATTATTATTATTATTATTATTATTACTATTAATGAATTATTTTACAGTCATCGTCATGGCCGTGCCATGTTAATTACGCGCGAGCGAGATTCGAGTTTAAAAACATTGCAATATCGTTCCTCTACGTTGCGAAGAAACAGAAAAAATAATTATTCATTCGAATCAAATTTACATTTTTCTTTTGTTTTTTAATTTTCATTTTTTATCTCCACAAGAAACGTGCTACTTTTGAATATTAACAATTAACAACGCGGAACGATAAAGAAAATGATTTTATCGAAGCACGCTCGAATCACGGATTACCGCATTGTGTTCACTCGTTGATCGCGAAATACTGTGTTATAATGTTTGTTTTGCGTTTGTATGTGTTTGTGTATTCGTCTGTGTGTTTTTATGTGTGTGTGTGTTTTTTTTTTCTATATTAATAAAAGCAATGTTTTACAATTGGCACAATTTTTAATGTAATATCACCTGAATACGTTCCCATAAATTTTATTTTTCCTCCTTTATCATACGATACACGATTTTTACGTAAGATAAAAATTATTTGAAATTGTCATAATTATATTAATTCCTTTTTTTTTGTGTTTCAATTGCAATCGTATAAAATGATATTTTACAAATATGATTTTTAAATAAAATTGAAAAAATAATTTTTGTTTCGATGTCACACGAGGCTTAATTGTTAGATAAAATTAAACACGATTGATCAAATAAAGTTTCAGTTTTATTATAGATACGATCTCGAATGTGTAAAGTTTGTTAAATCCTATTATTTCTCAAATCGAATTAATCAGATTTTTTAAATAAACATCTTCGAGAATTGTGTGTACCTCTGTTCAAAATTTTAATCTAACCACGAACGTACAATAAATTCGTACAAATGCATTTAAAAATCTTTCCTTTAACATATCAGCGAATAATACAAAATTACAATGAGCTGCAGAAATAAATAGACTAATGAATCAGTCGATCGTTATACTGAAATTTAAGGTAATGTAACATTAAATAAATAATAATTGATTGCACAACCTTCAATGGTATAATATTCACGTCATTTTGCATCAGAATGATAATGTGAATGAGTTTACTTTGTAATAAAAACTCTTTTTTTATAAGAAATGATCTTATTTATCATGCAACTTCGCGAAAATATTTTAAGTAATTTCGTTTCTACGATTATTTAATTTTTATGGGGGAACGTCTACGAAAGAATGAAAAAGAAAGAAAATGAACGATTCGTTTACGAGTACCATAAAAGATTAAATTCGAACAGAAATGATAACCGGGTGTGTTCTGTCGAAATTTTTGCCAGTGGACATGTTTCTTTCAGCAGCAATTGGAAAATCGTCCCATCTACCAGACGACTAAAGTGAATTCAAGTTGACTTACTGGAAGAAGAGAAAGCTAGTCTTTCTCTTTCTTTCTTTCTTTTTCGTTTTCTTTTTATTTTCTTTCTTTTTATTCTCACGTTTCTATCGTAGGCCGTTGTTATGGGGAGGAGTGTGGTGGGAGGAGGTAAAACGGCGCCCAAAAGTCGTGCCATGAAAAAAATCACTCTCCCATAAGACAATGTTTGAAAACTTTCTTCGTCTTTAAAATTCCAAAGAAGCTTCCTGAAACAAAAAAAAAAAAAAAAAAAAAAAAAAAAAGAAAGAAAGAAAAAAAAGCAACTTCTTCTTCTTCTTCTTCTTCTTTTTCTAATCGTTAATATTTAATTAATATAATATGTTATTTATAGATAATCTTTTTAATTTGTTTAATTGGTATTTAATACTTTATGGGAGGAATCATCGTTTACGTGTTATATGGGGTTANTGGTATTTAATACTTTATGGGAGGAATCATCGTTTACGTGTTATATGGGGTTAAATTATTCAATATTATTTGAATTTATTGTCATTATTTATTTTTCCTTTTTTTTTTTTTTTATGGTTTAGACAAATCAATTCTTTATTAATATCTCATTGAAATTATTTTAATTAAATTAATTAAATTAACAATAAACGATTTTTTTTAACTTTAATAATTTATAAAAAAAGAAAAAAAGAATAATGAAACAATTCAACGCTCGCGTGATAATTTGAATCATCGATCAAATAGAAATTTCACACACAACATAAGTAGAAATATTCTGATCAATTCCCTAACACATAATTCTAAATAAATTTATTATGTTTTCTAATTATATTTATACAAATAAATAAAACGATCCTTTCCCTTTAATACAAATTGTTGATTACAAAGTTTGAAAAAATGGAAAAATCTTAAAACCCATTTGTAAACGTTGCACTATACCTACGATCATACTAACAATTATGCACACTTGTAAAAATCTCTGAGATATTTATTTCAAAATCTGAACAATTTCAATTAAGAAATAATAAAAATACCCTCACAATCAAACTATATATTTCTAATTATATTCTTTCATCCACACTTATCCAATAATAATAATAATAATAATAAACCACATGTTACGAGATCATCCAAACTATTAAACCAATGAATATAGTCTAACATCCAAATTCTAAACTTAACAAATTATTCATTACTTTTCCTTATCATTTTATTTTTTCTATATTAACCAACTAAACAGGGATAGATTTTTAAAAATTATCCCTCTAAGAAAAATCTCAATACCTTTACCCCTTTCGTAATATTATTTTATTAAATTACTTATCTCTCTCGTCTTCAAAAATAATATTATTCATAAAAATAAAATAATTAAATTAAAAATTATTAATTAGTATTATTAAATAGCTATCGTAGGAGAATTTGAACATTCAAAAGTACTAAAATTATCAACAATTAATCAAAACGAAATTTGAAATTTCCTACGATACCTCTATTTATTAATTATTTTATTATTTTCTTTCTTAAAATCTATCACCGAGATGCTGTTGAACAATACAAAATTTCTCGCTTGGTGTTGATGGTGGTGGTGGTGATGCAAGAGGAAGGGGTTGATGAGCGAAAATAAAAAGAAACAAAAGCAAATGATTTTGAACGAAGACTGCTTTTGGGGGCTGTTACGTAAGAGAAACTCACCCGTTCCGAGATTTCTAACGAAATAACGTCGTCGGTGGGTACATAATGGCGCGGATAAGGTTAATGACACGAAAGTCAGGTGGCCCCAAACCACACGCGAGTTACGTAAGGTCAGCTCGACTGCTACTCCGCAGAAGCCAAGTTGTGCTCGTTAAAGACGTGTCTTTCTGATCCTCCTTTCCCTCCCCCTTACCCCCCTCTTACTCCCCTTACTCACCACACCGTCACCCTCCTTTTCTCTCTCGAAAGAGAGTACACCTTAACTTCTTTCTCTTTTTCTCTGTTTATCTTGTTGCGAATATACCTAAAACACATCTGTTCATTTTTTTTATTTGAAAATTATCGATTGTCGATTAACCCCAGTTTTATTTTATATTATTATTATTATTTTTGTTTCTATTTCGCTCGTATGTTAATTAATTTAGATGCATTCGTTAATATTAAAAGAAAAAAAAATCGTATAATGGTAGTATTATAATACGATGTTGTATATATATGTATCTGTGATATTATTATTATTATTCTCGATTGAATAGGATTTTATTATGTTTTGAGTAATGGTTTATGAATGAAAATAAAATTGTAATTGAAGGAGGGGAAAGAAGAAATTTCACGACGACTGTTTGCTTTTCTTTTTATTTTTTTTTTCTTATGCGCGTGTGTGAATTATTTGAATAAACATTAAATATGAGAAGTAGTAAAGGAAAAAAATATTCGACGTTTCTTGGATATTTGTCGCGACGTTGTAGATTGAAATTTATTTTTTTTTGGTTTTCTTTTTCCTGCACGAATTATTTCGATGTGACAATTAATTGCGATAGTTTTAAATAGAAATACAAATTAATGAAAGGTAATTAATTTATAAATAATAATAATAATAATAATAATAATAATGTAATATTAATCGTTGTGAGTGGAGACACACTTGTAAATAATATAAGAAGAGTTATATTTTAGATTTTGTTACAATGTTTCTCACGGTATCAGAAATACTGTTCTTGGTGCTTGCGTAACGCCAATTTAGTGCATAATTTTCACAAAAAGCCACGGAGCATTCCGGCTGCCATCATTGCCACGAAAACGACGACATTTAAATCGCATAAGAAAGAGAAAGACAGATAAAGAAAAAGAGAAAGAGATAGAGATAGAGAGAGAGAGAGAGAGAGAGAAAAAGAAGAACGAATGAACGAACGAAAAAGGGGGCGGTTCTCCGAAGTAATAAAACTTCACACGCACGTCAAAATACGAATCATTTATTTTATTTTTATTTTTATTTTATTCGAGGGATTTTTGTTTTTTATTTTCTCGACGACAGATCTTTTTCTTTATTTTTTCAGTTTTGTTTTCTTTTTTTTTTTATTAATTAAAACTCGTCACTTAAAACACGAAATTTTTTTCATAATATTTTTCTACGTTTTGAATTCTAAATTAGTATCTTTTTGATTTACAATTGAAAAATAAATAAAAAAAAAACAAGAAGTAAAAAAGAAAAGGGAAATTACTTTGCAAACAATTCGAATATTTCATGAATTTCATAATGAGTCGTGTGTGTTTTGTGTGTGTATGAATTGTTATTCTTTACAATATGGTTCAGCCGTATATTCCGAAGTTTTTTGTTAGGATGTTCGAAGAATGGTTATGGAAAAAAAAAAGCAAGTGTTCCTGTATTCTTCAAAGAAAAAAATTTAGTACAGTAAGAAATGAGAAAATAATATTTATCATTTATAAATGAAATCAATTAACATTTTAATTTCAATTTATTTTACCGATATATTACATTTCTTTGAAAATAAATGTTATAATAAATTTCTAACAATTCAATAATTAATCGTTGAAAATAAATAAAAATTGATTGGTTGGAAAAATTGTATAAAGAAAAGAAAAACCAACACACACATATCCATTCATTTATCGAATTTAAATAAATTCACATATATTATAATATAAAATATTATATTCACATATATTAATAATAATAAATAATTCATATTATCGAATTTAAATAAATTCACATATATTATAATATAAAATATTATATTCACATATATTAATAATAATAAATAATTCATATTATCGAATTTAAATAAATTCACATATATTATAATATAAAATATTATATTCACATATATTAATAATAATAAATAATTCATATTATCGAATTTAAATAAATTCACATATAAATATTTGTCGTAAATATAATTATTAATTAGAACGTGACAATTACCAATTTCGGTAGTAGGTGAACGGGGTTTCTCGTAGGATCGTATCCAAGGCTACAAACATTATAAGAAATAAAACAGCCAGGGTGGTTACGCAACCATTGCAGGATTTCTCGAATCTCGCGACGAAAAGATATTCGAAGGAGATGCGAGTGAACAGAAAAAAAAAATTAAGAAATAAATAAAGAAAGGAAAGGAAAGAAAAGAAAAGAAAGAATGAATGAAAGAAAGAAAGAAATACAAAAAAAAATAAAAAAGGAGGATTGGTTAGCCAGCAGTATATGCAAAATCATTTCTTACCGTATGAACGAAGTTGACATTTTAACGCTTTTGCCCATAACCAAATACGGAATACGAAAAGAGGGAAAAATACTGAAATATCTTTTTAAAAATATATATACATATATATATATGTATATATCCAATAAATGTGCATAAGTTCTCTGACGATGAGTTGGAGTATAGTATTATTTTATATTTTGTCGAAATTCACTAAACACAAAAAGTAAGATAATCATCGAGAGGTATAATCGTGCAACGCAAAGTTATGCTAATTTTTGGCTGCATATTAAATCTCCATTAACGACCCTCGGATGATGCGTACACAAATGATTTTTGTTTCCTTTTTTTCTTTTCTTTTTTTTTCACCTCCCGAATATATGCCACGTGCATGTGCATATATATGTGTGTGTGTGTTTCTTTATGCATTTAAATCGTAGACGCGAAGGTTACCTACTCAAAAACGGACTTTAGTTTCAATGCTTCTAATAACATCCAATGCAAACTTTTTTGCCTTGGTTTTATAAAATAAAACAAAATCAAATAAAATCAAAATACAAGGTACATTACGACGAATAAAAGGTATATTTAAATTATGAATTTTACTAATAATAGGTTTCCTCTTTTTTTCTTTTTTTTTTTTTTATTTATTTATCTCGTATCCGTTCTGTAATTATTTCTTTTCTTAATGAAAGAAAATTAAAATTGTAGAATAAAACACACAGCACGTTTCAAACAAAATTTAATATAAAATAATTCTAAAAGTATATTACAGTAAAAATAATAATTATTTTAAATGTTAGGTTTCTTTTCAAATTAACGAGAGAAATAATTTCTTACTTACCAATGTTAGTTTTTAAAATACCTATTTACTTTTGTTCATTTTCATATTGAAGTATAACGCGTGTGATATAAAAATTCGTAATTATATTCTTGTATCCACGTTTATTGTATAAAAGTACATTACATTTATATATTGTTCGAATAATGAATATTATATTGTTATAGAAAAATATAATAATAGAAAACTACAAATTAATTGGAAAGATTTTCACGAAGAGTAAAAACCAAACGATGAGGTTTTGGAATTAAAGTGATACCACATTCTCCTTCAAGATCAATCGAAGAAATGTTTGGTGGAATCGAAATAACGAATCGATGAAGAATCCTTGCTGAGAATAAGAACAAAATCATTTTTGCTAATTCGTCTCCAACGCAGCTACGTTTTCCTAAGGAAACAAAAAGAAAATAATAAAACAAATGAAACGAATGAGAGAGATAAGAGGTATCATATAGATTTTTATTTTTAATATTAATTATTCTGCGTTACTTAACATCATTCATATTCATCTCGATTGATACAATTAAAAATATAAAAATATATTTCAAAGAATTCGTTGTCGTAGTGTGTTCAGTGTTGCTGAATAAACAAAAACAAAGAAACAAACAAAATGTGATCAATAAAACGAACGTAATTTAATCGAACCGTTGAACCGCGTTACCTTCGAATCGAATGATTGGTTGACTGCAGTATCCTTGTACTATGAACGGCATATAACATTTTTAGCGAAGACAGAATCTTTGCCATTTACTTACCAGTTTGGAAAGGCAAGAATGCTTCCGGTTTAGCGAGGCTACCATCATCGGCAATGAATCTGTCAGGTTTGAAATCTAAAGGATCTTTCCAATAAGATGGATTTGTATGAATGGACCATTGCAATGGTACAATCATTGTACCTTTTGGAATATCATATTCACCTATTTGGGTATCCTAAATATTTAACAAATACAAAATTATGATACATTATTATTTTATCCTTGAAATATATTACGTCACACAGATTCATATATGAATAAAATTATATTTCTTATTAATTATTTAAACACGCGCGGTATTTACAAAAAAAAAAAAACATATTTCAAGTTTTAGTTATCCGTGACATTTCTCTCTTTTTCTTCGGAATGTTATTTATAAGAATTAAGAAAAAGAAAAAACAAGGTGTATGCATTTAAATGAGAAAAGGTCTTTGAATCTGTTCGCGTGGCTTACATCAAAAGAAATAAAATACCTCGATAGTTCCGTGAGGTATACCAACTGGAACAACACTTCTAAGCCTTTGTACTTCCGCTATTGTTGCTTCTAAACGCGTCAAAATAAATCTATCCTCCAATGTTGGTTCTTTATCCGATAACACCTGTTGCATCTCTCGACGAATCTTTTCCTGATATTCACATACAGATATACATTATTGCATAAGTATTAAAATATCACAGATAAGTATTTAATATTGGGTATATATGTCCCTCAATTTTGAAGGAAATAAAATGTTAAATGTTTTTTCTTAAAATGGGGGAATAGCATACGAACTATTATTAAATTATTCCTAAACGATTGGCAATAGTTTCGTTTGGTATAAATATTGAATGCATAAAAACAGGCGCCATTTTGAAGTGCAACTAACCTCAATAAATTTTGTACTGCATCAAATTTTGTATTTCTTTGTATGAGTAATCGTATCGATCATATTTTAAATAAAAACAAACTTCAAAAGATTTTTTCCAGACATATTTTCACATATGTTTAATAATAATATAAATAATGATTGATTAATTTCGGATATTTATTGATCGTAATTTAATATTCCCGTTAGATGTCGGTGTTAACTAAAAACTTGCGCCATATTGAATTGAAACTAACCTAAATAAATTGTATTACTTTTTCTACGAAATATATTATTTTAATATTCTTTTTAAGAAAAAATAATACTTTGTACCTGTTCCTGCGGATAGGCAGCTACGAAAAGAAGAAACCAACGTAGAGTAGTCAAGGTTGTATCAGTTCCTGCACCGAAAATGTCAGCGAGCAAATGATAATATTGTTGTTCGGTAAAATATCCAAGGTTGTTCGATTCCATCATTCTGTTCGTCATTTCATCGTTGAATGCGGATAAAAGGCTATCGTTGTTAATGGGATTTGATCGATGTTCTTCGATAATTTTTTGATAAATTTGATGAGTTTGTACTTTGCCATCGATCAAATTGTACATCGTTTTACCATATTGAGGCAAAAATCTGCGAAATATAATAAATATTTCAGTGTTTTATATTTAATAGAAAAAAAAAAAAAAATACATTTTTATTTTTCTTATCTCAGTTAAGAGGAGAGTAAAAAAATTTTGTTATCGAGGTTAAATTAATTATCAGGTGAATCGATAACGAATAGCACGCCTACTCGCAATTAAACTCACCATTTATTCCTATCGCTTTTAATAAACTCGATTATAATATCGCAGGTCATTTTTCTTTCTTTTTTTTTTGTTTATTTTACGTTTACTTTTACTCTGTTTATTTTTCCATTTTTAAATACATACAACAATTTTAAATTCCAATAGATCTCGTACTCTCGTAATTAAATCTTTCATATGCATATTGAATTTGTCGTGAATCATCGTGAGTATCGTAGTTGGATCATTGGATGAACAATAATAAGTTTAAATAAAAACAAGAATAAGAAAATAATTAAATTGATAATATTAATAATTTTTTTAGTTTCTTTTTTTTTTTTACCACGAGTACAACGGAAGAAAAAGAAAAGATAAAAATGTTGATTCGTGGTAATAACAATTTGTATCTATCCGAAAAAAAAGTTAATCAATATTGAAATGAAACTTTTTTTTTATCATTATTTCCTGGGCTTACCTAAGAAATGGTAAAAAATTTAATGGTCCCGCAACGCCAATGTGTTTAACTCCTTCCTCTTGTAATTTTCGTAGCCACGTCCAAACACGATCGTCCTCGTCGTAAGTTTTACCGAACACGAGATCGTTCATCAAATTTCCTACGCAATGATGCAACGTCTCGTTCGGATCGAAACCATCTTTCGTAGATCGATCCTTCAATTTCTACGAACGAAAGGAAACAACAACAAGATAAAAAAATAAAGCACAAGAAATCCCATCGACAAATTTTTAAAATACAATTTATTCGATCGATCGGATTAATTAATTTATTTAATTTATTTATTTATTCTCAAATTTATGATGTGCAACCAATAATATTTGTACATGTATATTAATTATAAGTGAAATAAGAATAAGACATTGTAAAAAACTTTGTAAGTTGTGCAATAAAAACCTGATTATATTGTACATGTATATTTAATTTTAATGAAACTTAATTTTTCTTTTTGGGGGGAGTGTTTTCTTATTTCTATTTTTAAATATCCATGCCCACATTTTTCTTTTTTCTTTTCTTCTTCTTTTTATAGAACACATTTTATGAAATATATAAATTTTCCTACCGAAATGCATTCATTTACGACTGCGAGAATTCTTCCTTCCATTTTATCCCTTTTCAATCCGAATTTGACCATTCCAAGATTTTTCAAGCATCCTGCAACGAACCTCCTTTGATCTTTCCAAAGTTCACCCTCGGCGCAAATCAAACCTGGGAAAGGACAACAAAAAAGAAAAAAAAGAAATAAAAAAAAACGAGGAAAAGAAAGAAAGAAAAATTCTCTCCGCAAAAAAAAAAAAGGAGAAAAATAGTTTCTCGGATCATATACTGAGGTATATATATATATTTATTTTCACGATTTCTCTTTTTTTCCTTTCTTTTTCTTTTTTCCTACCCCTATTTTTCTCTCTTTTTTTTTTCCTTTTTTTTTGTTCTTTTTGACGAAGGTGATGATCCTCGGTGGTGGTGCACTTTCAATGCTTGAGAATAATAAATAAAAATCTATGGGTTGCCCGAGGAAAAAAAAAAGAAAATCAGTGATTGGTCGAATTAGAATGGCGTGTAATGGTTACGGGAAGGGGTAGAAGGGGATAAGGGGAGAAAGGTTGGGATGGGTTGGAAGAGAACAAAAAAAATAGCAAGAGGATTAACGTGACACCATGTAAGTAGGCGGTGCCACTGAACTCATCGAAGGATTAATACTTCAATGAATAAACAATAATCTCACCGCACCCACTCCTTTTTTTTCCTTTCCCCTTCCCCCCCCCCCTTCTACTATTTTTCTCTGTCTATTTCTATCTTGTATTTTCTTTTTTTTCTTTTTTTTTTTTTTTTTAATATTAATCTTACTCACTTCAACTGCCTAGTCGATGAGATAAGCCAGTTATGTTGATCGATCAAATCACGCTTGTTTGCAATTGTTATTATGAAAATTGTTAAATGATCGACTGGACGTTTATTTGACGATCACTCGTGGTAATTCTTTCGAATCACGAGAGAGATGTTTTATTTATTTATTTATTTATTTATTTATTTATTTGTTATAGATTGCATTCCAATGGAAAAACTGAATTCGGTTTTTTCTGTTTTATTAGAAAAAGAAAAGAAAAAAAAAGAATAAAAATATCTAGGAATACTTGTAATTTTTCTTGTGTGTGTGAACAGAATTATTTTCATTGTAAATAGTTTTTTCGAGATTTTTGACAAATATCAACGAACTTTCGTAAGATCATACAAACGAGTTGATCTTTCGATCTTCGTCTTCAACGGATTCAGGAAAAAAAAAAAGAAAAGAAAAGAAAAAACATAAATTATTTTCGTTCCTAAATGCTAAACGATTCTACATTTAGTCAATTTTGAAAACGTGAATATTTTAGCAATAATATAAATGACGGAATTTTTGTGTGATTATAATAAATGGTAGTATTTTTTTTATTTAGATTTTATATTAATAGGTTGTGTTAAATACAAAAAGAACAAAATATATTACACAAAGTTATTCATTCAAAAATATTATAAACATTTTTTCGAATGTCTTTTTTTATCAACGATTTATTTTAATCAATACTTAAGTATACCAAAAAAGATTATCTGACTATTAAAATACGAAAACATAATTATTGAAATAAAATAATTCAAATATTTGTTTTATGCAATATACAACACAGAATCTCTCTTTTATTTATTCGAATATAAAATATTAAATTTCTTTTCAACAAAACAACAGGATTAAAATTTGTTTTCAAAATATTTCTCTGATAATTTCGATTGAAAATAAGATGCACCAATGCATTTCAAGTAATCCAATAGAAATAAATGCATGCAAGAGCAAAATAAATGCACTGGTGGATGTTAATATTTGCATTAACAATAGACAAAATATTGTATAAGTTTAAAACAATAATTTAGAAATATATTGGATTAGAAATATAAATAATAGGTCGAACATTTGTCTCTAATTCGAGTACCAAATTTTCTAGCATCTAAATATATTGTATTTTTTTAGAGACCTCCATGAATGTAACTCCGTAATGACCCTTAAAAGGGTCTCCCGACAAATTCCATAAAAAAATAAACCAGATACGAGTGTCTAAAAAATACCCTGCTATAAGAAACTATTGTTCTAGGTTTATGGTAGATTAGAGAAAATGTATTTCTTGTTTTTTTAAAAAAACAGGAGACCTAAATTATTGGATCGCAAAATGTCTGAAAAATAATGCTGATCGAGTTCAAAGATACTTTTTGATATTCGAAACTTTCCGGTTACCAGATGAAACTAATCCTGAGAATAATAACCTAAAAAATCATTGATAAAAAATTATCTTTCAAGAAACAAAAGAACCTAAGAAAGTGATTTAGGTCTGAATATGACTCGACGATTCATTTTCCCAACCTCCTGTTCCCTTTGAACCACATGTGAGACCAGAAAAACAAAACCGAACATCATTGGCCTTCTTTAAAACTTCAAATTACAAATTGCAATACTAAACGAAATACCGATGACAAGTTTTTATTAGATTTATTGTTAGGTGTTTTTCTTCTTCTTTTGTATATTCAAAAACGCATTAGAGGGACGGGTTGAAAAGTTTTGTGAGAAAAAATAATAAATAATATAATAATCATTGGGAGAAAGCTTTTTTTTGTCGACGATTGTTAAAAGATCGATTGGAAATTTGTTTTTTTTTTGTTAATTAATTCTAATTAATTTTATCGTTAAAAAGTGATTTTCTTGTTCTATTTTTTGTATTTTTCGGAAAACGTGACTTATTTCTATTTTCAAAATAAATTTGTTGTTTGCGATATTACAGAAAAATGTAAAACAAAGATGACATTTTTAAATTGTATTACATTTAATAGTGTTTAAAAATAATGAAAAAGTTCATTTACGTGTAAAAAGTATATAAAACAAATGTGACATTTTAGAAAAATGTTTCCTGTAATATAGATTTTTTTGAAAGAAAATATTTCAAGATACTTTTAAAAGATTATAAAAATCCATGTTTTATATTGATGATAGTAAAATATCGATGCTGTGACGTTTACGTTTACGTTTACGTTTTAATCTTTTAAAAGAGGTTTATTTAACAAACAAGTCACACATTCGAGTATCGCTGCCAAGAGAATGATCTCGGAATCCTGATGATCCACGAGATTATTGAGGTTTACGATCAACGTGCTTAAAGGAATACCGAATAAGATCCTTCGCGATGATCATGCATCTTTTTGTTTTTCTTTTTTCTCTTTTTTTATTAGGCGTATCATCGTGTCACGAATTTTCGTTACGAATAAATAGAAGGGTTGTTTTTTTTTCTTTTTTTTAACTAACCCCCTTAATTGTAAATAAATTAGAAAAAGTTAATTTTTACGTAGCTTCGAATAGAAATATAAAAAAATACAATTTGTTATTGCATTAGAGACATTATTATTATTATTTTCAAACGTCTTAGTTTACAAAGAACGTAATAGAATCCAGATTCAAGGCCTTAGTTTTCCTTTCCTCAAATACCAACGATCTGTTCGCATTCTAACTATAATATCATCTAACGTAAACGTTTTTATTTTTTATACTGCGTGTTTTCCAAATATTAATTTACTTGGTGACAATTATTGATAAAATAATAATATTGATAATTAGCATTATTGATCGTAATGTTACTATTAACCAAAATAATTCACGAGATAATTATTTCAAATATTTACTTAAAAACAAATAGACAGTTTTCTCCACAAACAAACATACGTGGTACATGGAAAACAAACAAACAAACAAAAACAAACGAATAATTGTTAATCGAATTGTAATTATTTTTCCCTTGCAAGGTTCGATAAGTTTCTTTAAGTATCGATAAACAAATGAAAAAAAACAAATAATACAAATAAATTATGACGAAATTAACGATGATATTGTTTAAACTGCGCGATCAAATTTATCTAATTAAATTGAACAATACTCGATTAATTCGCTACTCGTTCTAATCATCATCATGATCATCATAATCATCATCAGTGGTGTCGAGTAGAATAGTCGATAGGTCAGTGTCGTATTTAAATGACCGCACCGATAAAACTTTCCGGGATGCGTCATCATCGTTACAAGAGTCCCTCACGAATAAATCCTCTCGACAATTATATATTCCTTTTCTTTCCTTTCCTTTCCTTTTTGTTTTTTATAATACTTGTTCGTTCATACGATTAGATGGAAAGCGTTAAGAAAAAGATTCAACAAGAAAGAAAGAAAGAAAATAATCAATTGAATTTTTTTTTTTTTCCATATATATATATATAGAAGAACGTAGAATTTACTATCGTTTCTTACGCAACTAAACAGCACACCTAGCTCATATGTCGTGTAATAGTAGTAGTAGTAGTAGTAGTAGTAGTAGTTGTCAGTTGCCCGATGGCATGATTTCAAGAGATGACATCATCGAAAAATAAGAGATGCAAGGAGGAGTAGCAGCAGGAGGACGAAGGGAGGAGTGAAGTAAAAAGAGGTGGAAGGGGGGTAGGGGGAGGAGGAGGAGGAAAAGAAGGTGGAGACATTTTCGCTGCAATTCGTGAACCGCCAAAAATAAAACACCGGTTTTTCGTGATAGTAGAAATGAAATACATATATATATATATATATATATTTATACATACATACATATACATATATATATATATATATTGAATCGAAGAAGAAGAAGAAGTTTCAGGGCCGGTCGTTCCACCTCACCATACGACTACGGAGAACCGATAACTGCAGTGAAGGGTGGTGGAGGAGGGGCTGGGAAAGAAGGTAGGTAGGTAGGTAGGTAGGTAGGTTGATAGGTAGGTAGGTGCAAAAGAGGGGAGGGAGGACAGGTAAAGAGAAAAGAGTTGGAGGACTCGAAGCTCTTACACACTGTCGTCATACTGTCCAAATACAGTCGATCGATCATTAAATGTCCCGTTTACTATACCTCGTAATACATCGATATTTGTTCATCGATTTTCACGTTAAATTAATCTATCGGTGTTTTAGATTCATTTAAAAACATTTATTTAGATTAATTATTTCGTTGATATATAATATATTGATTGGGAACACACATAAACACACACAAATATTCTTCATTTTAATATTATATTATTTGTAATTATATTTGCAATTTTTTGTTTGTTCAAATATTCTATCCTTACATATATAATTATATCATAAATGTATATTATGGGAATTAATTAGATCAATG